CAGTTTCTGACTGTGTGCTCTCATTGTGAATCCTTATGTGACTGTTTATGGTTGTTTTGCACTGTCTACCTCTTACGTTCAGAACGAATATTCACTGCGTTGTTTACTGTTATCTTTGTTTATCTTTGTCATCGTGCTTAGATCCTCAGCAGCCGTCGCTGTCATAATATGCCCCATCTGAAGGAAAGTGTGAAGAAGTTTCTGGTCGCCGACTTCTCGCAGTTTTCTTCACTTGTCCAACAGCATGCTATGCCGTTGGTAACTCGCTCGACTGCCGTATAGTATTCGATGGTCTCATTACTTTTAACTGGCAGGTGACTAAATTTTGCACAAGACTTTGCCATGATCCTTGGTTTTCGTCCTTTATCATCCGGGCTTGGCGCCGGTAACGGTTGTTTAATTTTTCAATCGATGTGAAATTTAAAGCAAATTTTGAATTAAGGAATCACGAATTAACCGATGTTTACCCTACTTTATACGAGGTGACTGATGTGTTTAGATGCACTGTTTCTGCCCGTTGTTTAGCATATCGAGATAAGATTTTGAATGTAAATGATCAGTGCAAAGATGTTGCTGCCTTGTAAAATGCTGTAGCTTGTTTCATAACTTTGATTTTTAGTCGTTCGTAAATACGCCGTGCGCTGTTTCGGTTGATTTGTATGTTATTTTTAGAATCGTTGAAATGTCCAATTTGTTACACGCAAACGGTCGAAGGTGCACCGTCGCTACCTTGGACTGACCAGATAGTGGTTTTGCACCGAACCAACCCGTTGGCTTTTTCCTACCCGAGCGCCTTTATGTTAGAAGGCGAGATGTATTACAGCGTCGAGCATTATGTGAGACGGAAGATTTTGGAACATTTCGAATTCGGTGACGATGCCGAAGAAGTTCACAATGACGATGCTGCGTCCAGTCGCCGGGACTGTCAGGAGTTTGACCCTTACACAGACTGCACTGATTTTCTGTGGGACAGGCGTTGGCACGGGTTTTACGAGAAGTCGGTTTGGCCGAAGAAAGATAAGCTTCAGGAATGGGTCGAGAAGTACGGCTTGGAGTTGTATGAACGTGCATTGAAGGGAAAATTTACACAGAACCGGTTTTGCCAAGAATTGCTAATCAACACTGGTGACGCTCTGTTGGTGGAGATCCGTGCCAGCACCGGAAATGACGATGAGAAAGGGAGGAAGAAAGCGAGATCGGCTCGTCACGAGTGGGAGTCACTGAGATACGGCGCTTTCAACGGCAGCGCCGCTGATTTCGTC